GGTAATGTATTTAAATTTTTCCTTTAGTTATTTATTCCCTGCTCTGTCTGGATGTCTTTCTGTTTGTATAGAGAAAAATCAACAAGATTTTAGGGTTTCATGTGGTTTAAAATCACATGGTCCCTGCAGGAAGGGCTGTGGCACTGCAGGAATAGCCCGTGCCCACAGTTGCATAGTGACCAAAAATCCCACACAAATATCAGTGTTATTTCTGGACCAGATGGGCCTCAGGCACAGAATTCCCATGGCTGAGCTGCCACTGGAATCCTGTGTGGAGCAGGACTTGCCCAGAGTGCCTCTTTCAGGAATAATGCATCATAAAGAACTTTGCTTTTCCTACCAAGCTGCCTAATTCAGAATTTCTTTAGATATCATCATTTATATCTCACCCCAAAGCTGCAGCTGCCTGTTGCTGCCCCAGCAGCAGAAAAGCAAGTGCAGTTGGAGGTTTCCTTGATTTGTAAGAATTATTCTCTTGCCCCATTCAGGCAGAGGGTTTTCCCCTTCCACTCTGCCTCTGGGACTGCCCTGGTCATGTCCTGGCTGTTATTTTTCCCTGATGTTTTCCAGGGATTGGCAAAAAATTACTTCTTGTTGTTCCCTTTCACTGTGGAACTCAAGAAACACGAGGGTTTGCCTGCAAAGTTTGGATTGAGACTTCTTGGAGAGTTTAAAGATTCTTAAAACTCACAAAGAGGGACCAGCTGAGGAATTTGGATCCAAATTTCTGAACTTATAAGAAACTTTGGCTGTTGGGAGTTAATTTGTCATCAGTATTGAGGAACATTTTCTTTTCCAGAAAATAATTTTACTTGTTGACTGTAACTTGTACCAGATAATCAGAAGTCAAATGACAAGTTGGGGGGAGACACTGAAAACCTGCTGAGGATGTTGCTGACAGTAGTAAATACAATTAACTCTTGGGTTGGGGGTTTTTTGAAGGCCACTGCACCTTTTTTTGTGCTCACCTGACTGAAATGGGGGTTCATTACGCCCAGAAGTGGTTTTTCATTACCCACAGAAACGGCTCCCAGTGAAAAAATGAAGTTTGTTAAACCTCGTGGAAGTTTTTCAGGGAACAGCAAACCCAGTGAAGCCCCGGGGGGAGTTTTGTTCAGCCTGAAGTTGTCCTTTCTTTTGTTCCTCTGGATTCTTGTGACTCCTGTGTGACTCCAGGAGCTGCTGGCTCTGGCAGACAGATTGTCTGCATCCCAGAGTCACCCTGGATTCCCAGCAGGTTGGGGATGTTTTAGGGGTTGCAGGGCAGTCACATCACATCCATGCACAGCCCGTTTGCTGCACACACTCACAGCTGCCTCTGCCTTGCTGCTTCCCAGGGGGAATCTTGGAAACCTTCCTGGACACCCTGGCCAGGTCCCCCCCTCCCTGGAGCACCAGGGAATGTGTCAGCTCCTCCTTATGTTCTGGGACACAAACTCTGCTTGACTTGAAAACCACGGGGGGGTTTCTTGTCTTTTGGTTTTTATCCACTTCTTCCCCCCCCTCGTAACCACTTCCCTCCTGCTCACAGGAACTCCAGGATCCTCCCAAACTTCGCTCCAACAAGAACTTTTTGTCTCCTTGTGAGAATTTTGCTTCAGGCAGAGCAGCAGGATGTGGTCTGAGGTGTCTGCAGTGCATCTCAGCAGCACCTCTGGTTAATTCAGTGTCTTTCTGCCTCATCCCTCATTCCTGGCTGCATTTCCTTGCCAGGGCAGGTTGGTTTTTAACTCCTTTGGAGAGACAGCAGGACCAGAGTGGGGATCCCAGGGAATGGGGTGAACAAACCAGCTGCCAAATTTTGGATATTTTGGTGCCCAGTGACTCTCAAGTCTCATTTTTCACCCTTTATTTGTTCTTCTTTCCCAACTTTCACACGTGGGGGTACCTCATGCATTTTTCCTGGAGGGGGGAACCAATCCATGAAAAAAAAAAACCCTCCCAGGAGGAGCTCTGACCTTGGCAAGAATTTTTCAGCTGACCTTTCTGCCCTTTCCACTTTGCCCTTTAGCCTGAGGAGGTTTGGTTCTCATTGCTTTTTGTGCAGTTTTATAGGTGAGGTTTATGAACTGTACGTGGTTAATTATCCTTCCCCTTCCCTTCCTTTCTTTGGCTCAAAAAAAACCAGTTTCTGTCTCTTCTGGGTGATCATTTTTGAGCCCAGAGTCACCTGGAGACAGGTGAGTCTCTAAAGAGGCAGGGGAGTGAGCAGGGGGGTGGCTGGAACCCATCCCAGCGCTGCAAAAATCAGAAATATTCAATGCTTGGTGTAATTTAAGCTTAAACAGCCCTTTTATTTGGCTTAAAGAACCTTAAACAGCACTGAAGGCGTGTTAAAATCTGATTATTGGAGAAGCCTCTGCCTGAATTAAGGTGCAAACAAGGCCATGGGCCAAAGTCAATGTTGTATTTATTATTTAACATGAAATGTGAGGTGGAGAGGTAGAAAGGAATAGAAAAGAGGGAGAGAGATCAAGCAGAAAATCTTCAGCACTCGTGGATCCAGCAGCATCCTGTTGGCCCTTCTTCACCCCGAATTTTTGGTAGTGGGAAGGTCAAAACTTTTCCCTGTTTATACCTTTTAGCAAACAAAGGAGGAGTTAATTCCCTTTAACTGCACCTTTCTCTTGTTCTGGTGGTTAAAAGCTGATTATTAAATCACTCCCAACGCTGATTAATCCCAAACTCAGTCTTTCTGCTCTTTTTGAGCAAATTTGCCAGAAAGGGGTTTAAATCAGGTGATTTTTTTTTAAATTCTTTTCCCCTTTCTCAGTCTGATTTTTGTTGTAGAGTCTGAAGTGCTGTGAACTCTCCCCACTTCTCTCCACTGTTCCCAAATTAGGATTTTTTTCTTACCTGTGGGACTGACTAGGGGGGGAGGGGGGGACGTTCTTGGCTGATAAAAATCAGCATTTTTGGCTCAGAGGTACAAGGTGGAATTTCTGTTCTGTGCCTGAAACATTCAGGGCTTTGTGCCCGTTTTAGCCCCCCAAAAAATTCAATTTTCAGCTTTTTAAAGGCAGTTGGGCATTTAAATATGTGACTAAGCCCAAGGCCTGACTGATTTTAATTAAGTAGAATTAAGTGCCCACATCTATGAGAAATCCCACCAGAGCCCTGATTTTTTTTTTTTAGGTGTTTGCTCTTTGCTCCAGCACCTTCCTGAGTTCTGAGGTTTAATTTTCACAATTTAAGGTGTCTCTGCTTAGTTTTTTAAACAAGAATCATCTTTTCATGTTGATTGGATGCTCTTGGATGTGACTCTGATGCTTTTAAAACTGGAGGGCTAAAAATGGGAGCAGGATGATCCATAATGATGCTCTCTGCATATGAGAAATTAAAAACAAAAGTCAGTGTTTTTACCCAATTTATAGTTTGAAACCCCAGATCTCCAAGTTAAAATTCCAGAAGACAAAACCCTAAATTAGTTTTTTAGCCCTGCTGTTCAAAGCTGGTGTTAAATTTCAAGTTTTTGAGGGTTTTACTTTTGTCCCTTTGGAGAGAAATGTGCTGCAACACTCATTTGCTGGAGCTTTTTAATTAAAATTGGTCGTGCTGGGCTAAAAACCTTGAAAAATGTTACAGGCTCTAATCCACATCAGGGGAAGAGGGGCAGGAACAGGAGTTTTAGTGGATTATGGGATTAGGGAAGGACACAAAATTCCAGGGAGAGCAGCTCTGGGATGTGCAGTGGCAGAAACCCCCCCCTGGATGTGCAAAGATTTTGGGGAATAATAAATAACATCCCAGAAACTTCCCCCTCCCAGCCCAGGGTTTGCTCCAGACTTACACCCAGATTGGCCTTGCAGTGACACCCCCTCAGATCTTTTCTCTCCTTATTTATTTTTCTAATTGTAAATGGAAATAATAAGTTGAAATCTGTAATTTAACCAATTTTTACATATATATATATATATATATAGTGAAAACATTCCTGACTAGTTTCTGCTGCCTTATTTTGATTTTTTTTTATTATTATTCTTTTTTAATTAAAAACTATCTCATTTTTGCTGTTGCAGACCAAATTCTCTGCTGTATCAGGGTGAGCTTTTCCAAGAACTAAAGCAGCAAAGAAAAATTAAACAATAATGTGATTTTTTTTTTTCCCTGCACTGGCACGTGAGGTTCACCTGCTTCTGCTCTGATTAATTAATTAATTAATTAATTAATTAATTAATTAAAGCACCTTTAGGACAGTTTGGCACTCCCAGACTCTACTTTTCTGCTGGTTTGTGGTTCTAAGCAGAAGTGGAAGTTCCTCAGCAGCTCCAAAATTCAGGTACATGGTATTAATTAACATCATTTCTCACTGTGGGGTTATAAAGGTTTGATCATGACAAACCTTGCTGTGATTTTGGGGAGAATTTGGAGTTTGTGGGACGTGGGTTTGTGTGTCCTGGATGTGTTTTTTTAACTCCAAACCCACCTCTGCAGCCTTTTCTTTTCCTTTTTTCTTTTTTTCCTTTTCTTTTCTTTTTCCCCTCTTTTTTTTTAAGTCCTCTGCAGTTGAATCAGCAAAAAAAAATACAGCTTTAATTAAAAAATAACAGCTCTGAAGAGAGCAGGAGCTTTGGGAAGGGAGTCTCTGGGTAAATGACACACAATTCCCTAAGTCTGTAAAGCAAGGTGTATAAATTTCCGTGGGTTTTTTTTTAAATGTATTGACTCTTGTAAACTTTGTAAATACATTTTTAAAATAAATGTAGTTTTTATGACTGAACCAGTAAAAAAAAAGAGCATTTAAAAGTCTTTCCTGCCTACACTGAGGCGTGAGGGGAGTTCCAGCCCAGCAGTAAGTTTATTTTTGGGGGGTTTTAATGAAGTTTTGGTGCTGTTTTAGCCACAGACTGGTGAGATCAGGGAGGGGTTTTGGCTATAAATGTGAAATTAAAGTTACCACATCCAAATTTTCATTGCAGGACACAAAGTGCTGCTTCTCCCACCTCTGCACTGGGATGTCCCTCTTTTAATCTAATAATCCACACAATTATTTCCAGCCATTTAAATGCAACTTCAGAGCAGTTTATTCCCATCATGACCCAAAAAACAAAGACCACGTGAAGAGGAGCCGATTTTGCCACAGCTCTGAGACCTTATTTGGGCTCTTTTAATCCATTTGGGGTTTAAATCTTTCTTCTTCCTTCCCCTTCCATCAGGTTTTCCTGCAAAAACATCATATTCCTGTAAACACATATTATATTCCTGTAAACACATATTATATTCCTGTAAACACATATTATATTCCTATAAAAATCATATTCCTAACACACATCATATTCCTATAAACACACATTATACTCCTGTAAATACACATTATATTCCTATAAACATATTATATTCCTATAATACACATTATATTCCTATAAACATCATAT